AAATATTTGCTGATTCTCTGTTGGGGAGCCGTAGCAGTCATACCCTAAAACGAACTTTATTACGTACGCTTTCTGTCATGAGAGAATGACTTACACGTGGTAACATTTTAGTTGTATTTCTTGGTTTGACGCGCTTCGGAGTTTTCGTTCCTCCTTCATCATCGATCTCATCGGGATCATCATTAAAGAACTGATCTGTCTCGACTTGATCTTGGCCTTTTAAATATTTATAATAGCCATCAATATAATGCGGTTTCAATAGCCATGGGTGCTGTCAAATCGAATTTTAATAAGTGAAAAACGCTATGATACAAAGGTAAATAACTTACTGTCCAGATCTTCATTAGATATTGATAATCACCGAGCAGTTTAGCCATGTCTAAACATAGATTGATTTCTATGGGATTTTGTAGGTAAACATAATAAACTTACTAAGTCGAGATGTTGGATCAATGTCTTGAATTAACAAATATGTTCGATATAGTTCTTGCTGTACTGGTGTACATTTGATTTTTACAGCTGAATAAAGTCCAAAATATGTATATGACCTTACATACTACACACCCTTCCATACCATATTCAAATTTTGGAGGTAAAAACGATCGTAGGACATCGAAATCACGTCGATGAAGTACATTTGTCAAACGTTGATTTAGAGCGTATGCTCGGCGTCGCATGTAAGCAACGTCACCTGGAGAACTATCTTTGTGTTGGCCAGCTTCGATGGGTATACGAAAATTACGAGAAAATTCATGTTCACTACCTGAAGAAAAAGATTTTATTCTTAGCTGAAAGTGTAAAAAAAAACAAAACTAACCAAGATAATTTGGTTTACAAAAATTGATCATTGCATAGTATTCTTTGAGATTGTTTTGCATCGGTGTACCGGTCAACACTATACGACGTAATGTACGCACTTCATTCACAACACGAGTTACAGCACTCTTGGGATTTTTACTAATGATGAATAAGTCAGGTAATTGTTGATTGCAGGAAGATACTCACATCATATGACCTTCGTCACAGACGATCAAATCTGGTCCTGGCGATCGAAGATATTTCCCTGAACAAAGAGAAGACAATCGTAATAAGAGTAGATTTCCAAAAGATATCCAACATACGATATTTTTCAATATTAGCTAAATCAGCTTTTGCTTTAGTTGTTTTTTTCATCCAGCCCTGATCGTCACTATCACTTGACGAGTCGTTGCCACTATTGTCAGTTGATTTTGGTTTTTTCTTCGTCTTTTTGCGTGGCGTTTTAGCTGTAGCATCTGACGCATAGCTCAATAAACGATACATTTCGTAACCCATAATCAAAATACCACCGCCTTCATGCCACTAAACATCGGAAAAAGTTAATCACCATTAGTTAATAAATATTGACATACACGACGAAGAAAAGCAAGGCGATCCTTTTTCGCGATGTCATCAGCACTAAACAAATAAACATCGATACGCGGTTCTAAACTTCCAATCCATTGTCGAAATTCATTTCTCCAACTACAATAGAGACGTTCTTTTTAGTCAAATAGAATATTCAAATTGTGAATTCATACTTGTTTGCTGTATTTAATGGACAGAGAATCAGCACACGATGAATATGTGTCAATTGTTTGTAACGAAATAATGTGTGAATCAATGTGATTGTAGTGAATGTTTTACCTAAACCCATACAATGTGCGAGAATGGCTCCAGAGCCTCCTCGGTCTACTTTCGTTTCTTTATCTATACTGGTAGCAATACTAGCTGTTGATTCAAACACTTGGCTCCACAGAAACCGAACACCTTCCACTGAAAAGTAAACACGTCAATCCTTATCACATTAGAGACGATCTCATTCATTACCTTGATGTTTCTTCATATATTGAACAAGCATTAGATCGACTTCGATCACAATTTCGTTGGTACTTGGATCGGTTTCTAAAACTAATTCGAATGCGACTGGCCGTTGTTTTTGTTCGTGTGCAGCAAGAATAGTTCCGTTATATTCCTTTTGCTTTTGCAGACGTTCTAAACTTGCTGCTGCTTCACGTTCTTGTTGGTCTTTAATACGTTTATCCCGTTCAGTTTGTTCTCGCATCGCTCTTTTAGTTTCTTCATCCAAATCATCATCGGCTATTTCAGCTACGAGAACAACAATAGCTCAATACAACTGGAATATTCATGTGCATATCAAGCTTACGTCGATGGACAACTTTCTTTTTGATGGGTTCCACTGGTGTTTTAGTCTGTTTCTTCTTCTCCTTTTTTTCTTTCACTTCTTCTTCTTCTTCTTCATCTTCATCTTCGATAATAATCGTATCATCAGAATCGGTTGAAACAACTGTTTTAACTGGTTTCCTTCGTAATGTTCGTTTGAGAGGTACGATGAGTTCATCATCGGTATCGGTCATCTTTGCCTTTCTATTCAACGATTGATTTGATGCTGATGACGATGGTGTTGCGGACGTTGTCAAGCGTGTTCGCTTCTTTACTGTATTATGAATTGTGTACCTAAATGATCGGTATGGATAGACGTTCAGATAGTACCAGATGGTCTTTACCAAGGTGTATCAGATTCATTACCCGTGTCCGGATTGATATCAGAATGTTTTCTAAAACAGAAATGAAGACATGTCGATTAATAACATTTTCTTCTCACCGTTTCGTGGCAAGCTTTTTTAGTCTAGAATCATCGATGGGAGTGCGAGGTGATAGATGTCTTTGAAGACGTTCTTGAGAGTGTAGTGACATAATGACAACGGAATTTATTTAAAAAAAAGGAATAATTAACAAGTCATTCGCTGTATATAGTTTTAGTACGAACAGTGACGCACTGGTGATTTGAAAGAAAACAAATGTTTACATTCGATATTGTCTTTTCCTTTCTTCTTTGTTCGTTCTTTTGTTAAATCTTCATATGTAGATAGACAGAATAGAGACATCACAATGGATATACTTGTGATCTTTTTCAAACAATCATGAAATTACATTACAACGACTCTTTTGTTAAATATACTACAGTTATAAAATCAAATAAAGTGTATTAGGAATCTTTCGTTTTGATCCACCAAAGAATTTTATTATTCGCAGGCATATCGAACGTCTGTTTCAATTCCATATGATGTTCGTGAGCAATAGCCACCAATTCGTCTATACTTCTTAAACCCAATCTCGAATCTTTTGCTTGTAGATGAGCGTGAAAACGTCGATTACTTTCAGGTGTAATTCTTCCGTCGCCAGCCAGTGCATAGGGTCCATAAGTGATCAGACTACCGTTGGATTTCAACGCTTTATCCGCTACTGAAAATAAACCTTTGGTACATTCAATTGGTGTGATATGAATAAGATTGCAACAGTAAACAAAATCGTACGAATGATTCTCGATTGGATTTGTTGATGAAAGAACGTCGACAGTTAAAGGTGGAAGAATGTTTTTCGTAAATGCATTTACATCGTATTCATCAATATGAGCTTGAATGCTTTTGAAATACGATGAATCGACGTCGGACGGCTGAAATGTCGCTAACGGAAAATGAGCAGCAAAATGTACGATGTGTTGCCCAGCGCCTGATGCGATTTCGAGAACAGAGATGGGTGTTGAATCAGGAATAATATGATTGAGCAAGATTTCTAAGATCGGTTGTTTGTTATTTTCAGCAGCTGGAAAGACAAGTTTACCAGGAAAGGGTTGTTGAGTCTGATCATTTTCATTGCCAACATTCATTATGTAAATAGTCAAATCTATAAATAGCTTCTGATGGAGCAATCACAAGTCAAGAAGTGAGAGAAACAAATTTCAAGAAATAAGTCCATATTGACTACCAACAAGGACATGTGAAAACTTTCTATTGGTTAACAAATGAGACGTACATGTAGATAGATGATGCTGTGTGTGATTTGATTAAAAACAAACGAAAAGAGGCGAATACATTTGCTACAGAATTACAAAGGACAGGAAATATTTTGAATATCTGTAAAGATTGATGATCAAAATGCATGCGACAACACAATGTAATATTTCCAAAAGTGTAACTTATATATTGATTAAATATGTATATATATATCCGTTGTCATTATATAAAATAAGTTAGTGTTAACATTGTTGATAAGATTTTTTTCTTTTACTTTTATTCTAACACCACTATTCGACTTCCGTCGCACTGTCAAGGTAAAGTAAATTGTTGCTACGAGATAGAATTAACCTATATTGTATGTGTGTGTGTGTTCATTCAACTTACACTATTCCGTTTAAGAATAGAAAACATGATCTTCTTCATCGTCAGCGTAATTTTTTTGGGCGACGAGAAAAAGAATTGTCGTCTTCGTTGGAAAGAATGAACGCACCGGTTTTGGGGAAAAAAGATGAAGAGACGGAAAAGTTATATGAGTAGTAATAGTGTAGAATGCCTTGTCGTTCGTCTTCATTATCAATTTCTTTGTTAGACGAGCGGAATAAGCATGCTCACTGCTACATTCTCTTTCTGTTTTTAATAGTTTACCGACATCGAACATATAAAGACGTTTACCGGCTTTCACCCTCGTTGATTACAGTGACGACATGTCTTTTAGTCAGAAAGAAAGAGCAAGGCTTTTTTAGGGAGGGAGAGAACAAGGCAGGAAGATAGTCTTCCGTCCTTTCTACGAAGCTTTCCTCTCCTATATAGCTCAGTATTTTTTCTCTGAAATTGATTCAAGCATCGTTCTATTAGTATGACAGGTCGACGAGCATGTCAACCTGAACATGCGGTAAAGCGTCAACAGATTAATAGCGAGAAAAATGAGAGAAAAGTATAGAACGTACCAGGTTTATTCACTCATCACTACGTATTTTCATAGATAATGACAGAGAAACTCAAAGAAATAGATGATGATGACAAAGAAAGAAAAAAGAAGAAGAAGAAGAGAAAAGGAAAACGCCAAGAAGACTTTTCTTTCTTGCTTCTTTTTTATTATTTCATGCCGAGATTTGTCTTTAGGACTGATGTCGAGTAGATGATCATACATTCTATTTAGAAATGCTTGCTCATTCGTCAAGAGATCGTTCTCGATCACCACACAATACAAATGAAACGTCAACGATTAAATCAATACAAGAATCAGACCAAGATGATACAACAAATCCAGTTGAATCAAACAACAATAGCAATAACAATAGCAATAGCAATAAAGCCAAGCGAGAAAATGAATCCCAACAACGTATGCGAAGTCTTAAAGTAAGTCTGAGGAAATTTAAAATTTGTCTAAACTTGTGTCTTTCCCTTAATTAAGACATTCATTCAAACGTCAATCAATGAATCAACTTCACTTGGCTCCACATACGACGAACAAGTGAAAGCATTAGAAACAGCTTGTATCGAAGAATATCGTGATTTATCGCTTGATCGCATTCGACGAATAATTCGCGGTGTGTTAAAAGTACGTAAAACCCATCAATCATCTTCACTGCATCCTCACACAGCCAGTCCATTCTTACATCAAGTAGAAACATTTCTTATTGCATAAAAACGTCGTATATTTACGTGGATAGGATCATACAAGTGCACTGTCTACAACTAACGATCGCTTTAACACAAATGAGAATACCAGTAAAAAGAATCGACCAAACTCAACTTCCACTAATTCAACATCAAAAACAGTAATTGTCTGGAAATTTATAAAAAAATGCTTCATAAATTATATATATATTGATAGTCTGATTTGGTTACATCGCCAACATCGACGTTATCAGCATTTGATGCTGACTTTCTTCGACATGCGTTTTCACAACAGTTTCGTCCATCACTTGATCTATCTGCATACTTTTCAGCAGCTACTGCTTCAAATGCCTCAAATCCAACATCATCATTGTTCCGTCCAAATTTTTCTCCATCAAATTTCTTACAATCTTTAACAAACACAACACCAATAGCACCACCACCACCTCCGCTTCCGCCAACGCTTGTTACACCTCATACGCATACGAATGGTTGCTATATCATCAGCTTCTTTGTTTACTTTCGATCTAATTGCATGTTTTCGGTTTCATTCTAGGAACAAGTGACTCATTAATGAATAAATCAGCGAAGCAAGTGAAGTTATCTGGTTCTGAATCCAATTCTATTAAAGTTCTTGTTAATGCCTACCGTGAAGCAGCATCATATCTATCTCGCTCGGCCGATGAACTCGAACAATTAATCTAATTCAAATCTCTCCTATATATACGTATATACATGTGCATGTATTTCGTTGTCTTTTCATTTAAATACAAATTACAGTTAACATAGTCTGAAATAAAGTTAAGTATGATTGTTATATATTTACATCACAAAATTTACGAGCACGTAAATGTAATGTCACAATTAATTACGAAATATAGATAGGTTCTTAAAAATGTTGGTATAGTGATTAAAATTTTCGACAATTTCAATAATAAGGAGAACATGCTCAAGAGATGTATCTATAAACAAAACTGTTGCAGTGTCATACAAGTACGCATGTTTCGCTGTCGACGAAGTCTCACTTAAACACGTCCACAACTTAGTTCAGTGTTCTAACAGATGACTACCTTTATTTTCAGGAGTATGATTTCATTCATATGTAAAAAATAAGCTACGATATAATTTATTAGCAAAGTATTCTAATAACACAATCATAGCCTCCCATATGGAACATAGAAAATGTTTGAAGCTATATGAACAGAGTTAATCGTGTGGTGCACCAACTAAATTCACACTGATGATAAAGATAATACGAGATCACTTAAAATTTCATTTTATTGCGACATTAGTGCAAGGATCACGGTAAAAAGAATTAATCTATTATACAAGTGGAACTTTATTTTTATATTTAATCATGTTCCGGTGCCTTCATTTGACTTTTTAATTTGTCATCATGAACTAGTTGAATCATTGTTTTCAGGAGGAGAATAATCATATATTGCGTATCAGAGCAAAGTTAGCACTGGAAAACCAAAAATCAATCAAAACTTAATGTTCAAATGAATTTCTGTACAAGAATCACAGCTCATTCGATACGGAATTCGATTTTGAATCAGGTGATGATATTTTTATTGATGAGAAAGCAGTTAGGAAAATTTTATCTAGATTTTATTCGGTTCAAAATTTAATTTTGCATCGAATAAGCTCATTTTTATAAAGTTCTTCTTAAGCTTCTAACTAAAAAGTTTTATACCGGGAGCCGATTACTCCCTCTAGCTGGTACGCCCATATTTTTTGCAATTTTGATTATATCCCACAATTCGTTTTTTGTTTGCAGCAAGTTCCACGAGTGAAAGGCTTTTTAAACCGTCGAGAGTGTATTGGTGAGATTTAAAATTTTATCAGTAGACTTTGGTATAGCGTATTCTGATGGTAAGGGTGGGTACATTCACATGAGTCTGTTTTATAACACTGGTACTATTGAGCTGTTTTCATATTCGATAGTAGTAAATCTACGGTTCTGTATTGCATTTTGTTATTCAAGCAATACATTCATCTAAAAGAAAACTATCAATAAGATATTTTGTAAAAGAGTACCATTATACTTCTTCACTAACATGTCTAACCAAAAGACACTCCCAGGTCGAACAATCCCATACTCGGATCCCATCGGATCCAATACAGAATTTTATCGGATCCTACAGGAATTCGACGGATCCGATGAAATCCTGGTGACGGAATCGCATTGGATTCCGACGGTCTCGGATCCGAAACATGGATTTCCTAAGGGTCATCAAAGAACATAGCTAAAAAGATCGCACATAAAATTTGCAACAACCGACGGGATTTTTCTAGTCGGATTCCAATGCAATTCCGTTTCCAGGAATCCGATCGGATCCAGCATCGGATTTGTTGACCTGGGTTATGTGTTTTTCTTTATTCGAAAAGTGCCACTTTTATATTGCATTCTCACCCACATATTGTTTGCGTGTTATTTTCATTTGCTGCTTCCTCGGTCGTCGCTTGGTTGTAGAGGCCGGTGTAACAATAAGCGAGAATTGAATAAACCCAAAACCATACGTTTATCCTTACTTTTCGCCGTCACGCTCGAGAAACAAGCTCCTGTTAAAACTGTGCCTTCAAGATGAAGAACTATTGTCAAGCGACCATCGTACTGAATTCAACAGATGTCAGAGTACTGCGAGAAAAGCTTGTCTAACGTCCATATCCATAGTTTAATCAACCAATCAGAACTTTCTTTCTCTGAAACTATATTCTTACAAAAATCTATTTTTATTTTTTATTCAACTCGATTTTATTTGGTATTTGTTGATTTTGTCCACATTGATATAGTTGATAAAAACTAGCATGGCTACGATTCAACGTCGATTATTGAAAGTAATTTCAAGAAGGAAAACAATCAATATACAGATTTGTTTTGTCTTTTTTCTATAGGAGTTCAATGCTGCAAAAGAAAATTCCGCACAAATTAATAAACTAGAACCAAAAGGCAGTGATAGTAAGTGTAACAGACACTTTCCACAGTCTCTTGTTCCGCCTACCAATCATCTATTTCAGTATTACAATTGGAAGCTAAAATTGTTGGACCAGTTAGTAGCATAAATCTCATCGTAGTTTCTATATATTGACTATCTGTTCTATTTTCTTCCTATAGGATAATTCGCCGTATGCTAATCATATTTTCACACTTGATATTACTATGCCGACAGATTTTCCATTTAAACCGCCTAAAGTACTTTGTTCTTTACACGCGAATGAGTCATTTGAACGAACTTTGCTATCTTCAGGTTAAATTCGCGACACCGGTGTATCATCCATCAATCAAAGACGATGGAAGCATTTGTAAGCGTTGAGAAAAAGAAAACGATCTATACGATTATTGCTGTTCATCTTATAGGCCTTGATCTTCTTAGTGACAAATGGACACCAAATCTGTCAATCGTTACAAGTAAAATGAACTCGATTGAAAAAGATTTCTATGCATTTGATTGTCACTTATAGTTTTACTTCAAATAATCGAGTTACTGGCGGATCCAAGTACTGAAAGCCCCGTTGTACCAGTCATAGCGCAACAGATTTTGAAGGATCCTCAAGAATTCTACGAAACAGCACGCAAACACACGGCCGCGCACGCTCAACCTATAACGACCTAAGTTGAGACGAACAGTTAGAAAACACGTTCCGTCTTTGTTTTGAACATGTTTTCGCAGTATAAACTTTATATATACATATATAACACTGTTTCTAGCTATTAAAGTACAATAATACACATTGATGATGACAGCCGTAACCTGTTATCGTCTGATGCGATATGAGCGAAGTAGTTATATAAAATCAAGATTCATTATGTGATAATCAGCATTATATAAAACATGAGACATGCGAAAGCTACTATTGATAAAGATTCAGGACACAAAAAAAGATCGGTTCAACTTTTATATCATAAACAAATAAAAGAGAGAACTCGGAAAGATAAAGTTCTCAAGACACATCACGGAAAAACAGAGAGATTCTAGTTTCGTGTGTATGTTTTCATCAGCTTCACCTACAACGACAATGTTTATATTGGAGACCTCTTCAAAAAAAGGACAAGTACCGCATAAGCACCTTCAGAACGAGCACCATCTATCGGACGACTGTCAAACGCATAGAGATAGGTTCTTTCGTCGCACTGTATTCGCCAATTGTTCGTCTCAGTTTGAGAATCCAGAATTTTTCGCTGATTGTTTTCACTATAGCTATTTTCTTTTGAATAAATACCTATTAAGAATTTAGATTATTCAATGTCGTTAACGACGCGTCTACCTCAGACGTTGAAACAAGTTCGACCAGTTCTGTCGACAGATCATGCCGAAGCAAAAAGGCGTGTCTTAAATCTTTATAAAATTTGGCTTCGTCAAATTCCTTACATTCGCGTCGATTACATCAAAAACAACTGGACAGAAACGCGCTTACGTGATGCGATTAAGGTTTGTGGAAATTTTCACATTGAAATTCAAACTATTTCTTCGTTGCTTTTTTTCTTCAGGAAAATTTCATGCGAAACAAAGATGTAACCGATTTACGTGTTATTGATTTACTTGTCGTTCGTGGCCAAATGGATTTTGTTGAGACAGCTGAAATTTGGCGACAACAACATAATACAGCTACTATGGACCGCAGAAAGGACACATATAAGAAAAAGCCCTTTGGTTTTCTCGAACGTTTTTATGAAGGCCATTGAAATTCTGAATAAACCTTTTTCTTCTCCTCCCGCCCCATCTGTATTTACCATATGATTAGTTCCTTTTCTTCGGAGTTTTAGATGCCATCATTTGAAGAAACATTAACATGCCCTGTTTGTCTGGATCTTTTCGATGATCCACGTTTATTACCATGTTCGCATACATTTTGTTGTAAATGTCTTCGTTCAACAATAAATAGTCATTCGTTTGTCACCTGTCCTCTCTGTCGATCACGTTTCTTTGGACAAATTCTACCTGTCAATCGTATCGTATCAACACTTGTCGAACAAATTCGACAAGACAAATCAGATGCCAATCGATCGTTTCACATTAGCGCCAAATGTTACGATTGTAAATCGTATCAAAAATTGGATGTTTGCTACCATTGCGACACATTACTATGCAACAAATGTCATCATAAACATGAGATCGATTGGAAAAATCGTGACTACAGAACAAATAACTTGCTTTTATCAAAAGGTAAGTCCGTTATTCTGACGTAATTGAAGTTGAACGATATTTTTTCAGTGACATGGTTGAAATTTCAAATTAACTTCAAATTGCGTCATGAGAATCATTGTCATCTGAACGAAAAATTAACTGAACTTGAATGTCAAATCAAGAGTCATCGGCATCCTTTGAATCGTCAGCAATATCAAGAGAATAAACATCGATCAAAAGCAATCGTAGATGAGTTACACCATATTGATAAGCAATTACAAGAAAGAATTCTTCAACATGTTACTGTTCAATCACCAATCTGTATTACACCACTTTCGGCTGCTAGTAGTGGTTACAGTTCAGATATGAATTAGATATGAATGATACTTCTTGGTTTCTTTCTCTCTGTGCACATATTTCAATGTTCATACTTGTTTGTGACTATTTTTTTACATGTCAGATATTGTTTATATTCTCAGTCGTGAAGACAAAAGCATCTGTTTGCCTTGCACTCAGTTTTTTTTATTATTGAACAAAAAATAGAACATTTGAGGAAGTTGAAGTTTTCATTGGCCA